GGGGGAAAAAATGGTCGTCTGGGTCTTTTTCCTGAATTTAGCTTTCACAATAATCATGTGCTGCTCAAAATCCATCACATACAACACATGAACTAGCCTGAGTCATTCTGAACTTAGCAAATGAGGAGGATGCTGACTCTTAAAAAATCAGCCCACCATTGTGGGCTCCACCAGCCTCTTTGGAGTTGTTGCTGTAGAATTTCTAGCAAACTCTATCATCTAACACTGTCCTGTCTTATTTTCAGTTAGTTCCCAATGCACTCCTGTTCAACTGTTCATTTTAAAGGGACCCATGAACCAGTGTCATTGGCTCTCATTTTTAATGCTGCCAGTGCTGCACATTCCCTCTAAATGATTTTGATTTTTCAGTTTAATTGAAAGGAAATGAAAGTGTTATTGATGGACTAATCTAATGGAAAGCTTTTAATGAGATTATTCCTTGGCACATAAATTTCTGGAGGGCAGGAGGATATTTTAAATGCTATTTTTTCTCTTTGTTGCTGGCTTGGGCAAACAATTCTATTTACCAAGAGTCTCTATCATTATTATGTCTTGCTTCTTGTTAATATTTTACATTCTATGTATGCATAGAGACACTTGTAGACTAATGGGCAGTGGCTGTTAGGTGCAGATCATTTCGTACATAGCATTGATCAATCAAGAAATGTGATGCTTGCCCTTCTTCTAGACTGCCTCTGTTGGAACACGGTCAAAAGAATGACACATGGTGAACAATGCCTTGGGGAACTGTGAGGGAGGCTCCAGGGGAAAAGGCAGAGGGTCTTTTACCTCGGGTGCATTTTGTTCCCTGGATTGTTCTTGGACTTGATTTCATGCCTCCTGTGACAAACATTTACATTAAGTTTATAAGACATGTTTATTCTTGTTGGATGTCAGATCATAGCTATAGAACCCAATTTCGTCAGTGTATCCTGAATCTGGATATGGCCTTCTGCCTTGCTTTTTTGCCCTCCCAGATTTAATATATAGTACATGTCAGGCAATGTGTTTAAATTGATCTGTCCTGAGAAAGTTCTGGGAAACAGCTGCTCTGTTAATATTCAGTATGTGTTTACTGACATTTATTTACATGTTTGTTTTTCTGAACTCAAACAATCATTCTTGGATTATCGCTTTCTTGGTTACATTTGTGTATACAGGTACACTGAAACACTGAAGTAAGGTTGTCTACAGCATTAGACTGTAGTCCACTCCATTCTTTCAGGTCCTCAGAAACCAGGTCCAGCAGACACAAATCTGTACAGTTAAATCAGAGATCCCACAACTCCCACAGTTGGTTAGAAACCACTTAGGCTAAAATTGTCCGCCCTACCTTCCTCTTCTGTTCTCTCTAGGGTACACTTAGCCTAGCTGCAGCATCACACCCATGTCCCTCAAACATAGGTAATTTCTTTATATTTTTCCTTTATGATGAAAATTGTCACAACCCTTTCTTCTAGCTTTTTGTTTCCTTTCACTTGCTTGTTTGAAACAAGGTCTCACTGTGTAGTTGTGGCTAGCTTCAGGTTTGCTATATAAGTCAAGGTGGCCATGAACTCATATCTCCTGCTTTACCACCACCAAACCCCATCCCCTGCTAGAATTAAAAGTATGTGTTACCATGGCCAGCAGCTAGCTTTTAAAAATGTATGGTACATTATTGCTGTCTATGGTCATCTTACTGTGTAATAGCACATTAGAACTTCCTGCTCCCAGCTAATCTCAGTTTAGACCTTTCCCTGGTTCCTTGCTTGACTCCCATCTACTCCCAGGTCTATAATTCGAATTGTTTCTCCAGTCCTGCCAAGCCCCTGCAGTCCTGTGGCTCTTTTATAAAATAATCACTTAGAGACTTAATACCTGCCTCTCCCACCCTAGTGCTGGGATTAAAGGTGTGTGTCATCATGCTTATATATATATATATTCTTTCCTTGTGTGATCTAATTCCTCTCCTTTATTTCAAGTCCTAACATTCTATTTTCTACTTGGTCCATTTTACTTGTAAGGCTTTCCCCTGAGTTTTCTAATTGGGTTATTGAGTTTTTTAACCCCATCATTTTATTTAGCCATACTTTTTTTTGTATCACTCAGACATTTATTGTTATTCTCATTAAGTTCATTGGGCTATTTGTTCATGTCTTCATTTAAAGCACTTGAATTCTTTGACGAAACTTATGATATTCTTTTAAGTTCTATGCTCTGGAGTTCATCTAGGTAATTTTCACTTAAGAGCATTTTTATATGACTGGTGGATTGGGAGGAAATGTACTGTATTGACCATTCATGTTCTTTGTGCTTTCGGAGGTAGACCTGAACATGTATACTTCTTTTATTTGTGTATGTCTGATGAGAGAATCTAGGCTGACTTTATTGACTGGAATTTTGTTTTTTGTTTTGTTGCCCAAAGTTGGTTGATTTTTTTTTAATAAGAAATTTTCCATTCATTTTACACACCAATCAAAGATCCTCTCTTCCCTCCTCCTGCCCCCTTCCCATCCTTCCCCTCTCAACCCACCCCCCACTCCTTCCCACAAGAAGGCAAAGCCTGATTTAAGATGAAGTATGAAGGCCGGCGGCGGTGGTGGCGTATGCCTTTAATCCCAGCACTCAGGAGAAAGGCAAGCAGATCTCTGTGAGTTCAAGGCCAGCCTGGTCTATAGAGTGAGTCCAGGACAGGCACCAAAGCTACATAAAGAAACCCTGTCTCCAAAACATAAACAAACAAACAAAAGATCAAGTATGAGGAATTTGTAGGCCAGTCCTTCAGAGTCTCAGTATATATTTTAGATTAAAGGATTTGGGGTGATTCCAATTCTGTGGTATATAAGAAAGCATGAGAATGGAACCAGGATCTGCTTGGGCTGCTGTGCAAGTTATGCTACTAAGGTTATGCCTGGGGGTGGGAGGGTAGAATGGGTGGGTCAGGGTCTTGGTTACTCACCACACTAGGCTGGCACTTGGAATGTGCAGCTGAGGTAAGACCTGAAGATTTGGGATGCCAATGGGAAGGTGATGTTCCAGTGACTCACTAAGCTGGATTGGCATACAGATATGTGTCCTGGGATAGGTCTGAAGATGAATGGTGCAGATGAACCAGGGTCCTGGAAACTCACTTGACTGGACCAGCACAGAGAGTGTACAACTGGGGCCAAGGCTTGGGTCTGAGAATGGTGCAGGTAGGACTGACCACACTGGGATGGTAAACAGGATGTGTGACCTGGGCTGTATCTAGGGGGTTAGAAAGGAAACAGGTGGCCTGGGGCTCAGGGAACTCACTAGACTGGATTTTAGTGCAGCCAGAAAAGACATGGATGTTGAATGCAGTGCGGGAGCCAGGGTCTGTTGGACTGACTAGACTAGGCTGGCACACAGAGTGTCAGACAAGGACCAAAGCTGGGAACTGGGGAAGGCACAAGTAGACTTGACCAAACTGGGCTGATGCATAAGATGTGTGACTAGGACCAAGCCCACTGAGAGTATTTTATTTTAACTCAACAAGTCGTTTTTATTTTTTAATTACTTCTGCTGTGGATATCGCTCTGTATTAATAAAATACTGATTGACCAGTAGCCAGGCAGGAAGTATAGGCGGGACAAGCAGAGAAGAGAATTCTGGGAACAGGAAGGCTGAGTAAGAGATGCTGCCAGCCAACACCATGGCAAGCAACATGTAAAGATACCGGTAAGCCACAAGCCATGTGGCAACTTATAGATTAATAGAAATGGGTTAATTTAAGATAGAAGAACTAGATAGCAAGAAGCCATACAGTTTGTAGGCAATATAAGTCTCTGTGTGTTTACTTGGTTGGGTCTGAGCGGCTGCGGGACTGGTGGGTGAGAGAGATTTATCCTGACTGTGGGCCAGGCAGGACTGGAGAAAACTTCAGCTACATACTTCCATCTCTTTGTGAAGTTTCTTTTCTCATTAGAATAATGAAATGGTTTTCTATTTCTTTAAGCTCACTGAGCTTCCTCAAGATAGCTGTTTCTTAATATCTCTGTGAATTCTCCCAGACTCATGATGATTCCATCCTTGACTTTGAGAATGAAGTGAAACTATTATTTTCAAGAGAATCTTGATGTTTGTTATTGGGCGACATCTTTGGGTCATTGATATTTTGGGTATTTGTACACTCTTCTTAATCTGGCTTTATTCATCTCTGTCTTTCCAGAGATTCTAAGCAGGTTATTTTTCTATGAGCTAGTAGCCACTTCTACAGCATGCCACACTAGAACATGGTCTAATGTGGATGAGTATGCTGCTGGTGTACTGTTGCTATTTCTGTAACAGAGGGTAACTCAAGTCTTTTACACTGTTGGTGTGTTGTTCAAAAAGAACCAAAAGAGCACTAAAAAGAGCAATTTACCCCCTCCCCCCACCTGCCTGCTTCTCTCCAGGCCTAGGCTGGTTTTGGATTTCTGATCAGTTACTAGCATAAGGCCAAACATTGTGGGATACTACCCAGCTCTCAATGGACCAGCCCTAGACTCCCTTTGTTACATCTATGACCACTAATACCACCAAGTGATGACATCCCCTAAACCCACAGTACTACATGGGGATAGGAACAAGGCCTATGCTGCCTTGAGATAACAAATAAAATGATATCATGGACTTAAGACTAATGCAACTAGCCACAGGGTATACTAGATAGAGTAGAATTCCAGTAGATCAGAGCCACATATCTTCCTTTGGGCTGCTGCAGAAGCTCTGTCTACAAGCAAGCCTGGAAAGGAACACATTGGGATCTGCCCAATGTTAGGTTTATGAGCCCACCCATAAGTTCTATGGCAAAGACTTGTGTTAATTATCCTGTACCACATCAGAAAATGGAACCAGGCTATGTTGCCGAAGCAAAAAATGAGATACACAAACCAATAGTTTTCATGGTCTCCAGGGAATGAGAATTTGAGAGAGAAATCAATAACTTATGCTTGCCTTTACTTTTAAATTTAAAACAGTTGAAGTATATTTTTAAAAGAAATTTACATTTTTAACAGCTCTTGAAGCACTACCACAGAAGTCCTGTGTGCTGAGGGACAGGATTTGAAGATTTAAAGCATAATTTTTACTCGTGAAAATTCTTGAAAACTGTCAAGCCTGGAGGTAAACACTTCATTTTATTCTAAGCAAACAGGGGTCATTTGTGCCTGTTCAATTGCTCTTTCCAAATCATGGACTCTCCCGCTGTTTTTGTTGACATTTACAATAGCCCACTGAGAAAGAACTTTGTGGAAGGAAATGTCAAATATTTCCTTCTAAGTGCTGGAAGTGGTAAAATATACAAGAGGGTCTATATGGGAGTAAATAAGGTGCTCTTGAGTGATTTGAAATATGAAGTTGAATTAATTTTTTTCATTTCTGAACTCTACCATTCCAAAAGTGTTTTGGCTATAGCAGAAAGGATTACAATAAAAAATGTATTATAATAAATTGCACTACTTCCAACTTTATCAGTGCTAATCAAAAGTTATTGCATTCAATTAGGAGATAATTCAGTCGCACACATCTAGGTTTCTTTCAATTTCACTTGAAGATTTTACTACATTATAAAAGGAACAATCATTTTAATAAAACAGTTTGAATAAAAAATTAACTACAAGAATATGTCCATTTTCTGATTCAATGTTCTATTGTACATTCTGGAACACATATTTAACAACATGTCCTTAATATATTAATGCAAAAACATTTATTTTTCTTCAATTTAACTTTTAAGAGAGGGGAAAATATGTGACAATGACATAAAATCGCCCCAAAGAGCATATGCTTTGATGTGCAGTCGTGGTCTGTGGTGGTTTGAATAAGAATGGCCCCCATAGGTTCACATATTTGAATACTTAGGGAGTGGCATTAGGAGGTAAGGTCTTGGAGTATGTATGGACTTGTTGGGGTAGGTGTGGCCTTGTTGGAGGAAGTGGGTCTCTGTGGGTGGGCTTTGTGGTTTCAGAAACTCAAGCCAGGCCCAGAGTTTGGCTCTCTCCCTGCTGCCTCTGATTTGAATGTAGAACTCTCAGCTCCTTCTCCAGCACCATGTCTGCCTGCACACCACCATGCTTCCCATCATGATGATAATGGACTAAACCCCTGATACTGTAAGCCAGTACCAGTTAAATGTTTTCTTTTATAAGAGTTGCCATGGTCGTGGGTGGTGTCTCTTCCCAGCAACAACAGATTGACTAAGTCAGTCTACATAGCGATGCTTTGGTCCAGACTGCATACATGATGATCTCATAAATGCATAGCGGAGTGAAAAATTCCCCTTGACTGGTATTTTGACTGCACATTTTTCTAAGCTTAGATATATTTTCATGGATTATTACAATTGTCTGCAGTATTCAGTACTATCACATGCTGTGTGGGCTTGAATTTTTGGACCAATAGGCTTTTCCACATAGGCTAGATATATTATAGTAGTATATATTTTCCAGGTTTGTGTAGCTATACTTTATGACGTTAGCAGAACAAGTCAGTTTAAGGATACATTTCTCATACTGAGTGTTCTGGTTATTATATGACTATAGAGTGTTATTACTCATTTCTTATCTAAGTTTAGTCTCAGCTCAGTCATCTATACAATCTACCTGTTTGCACTGATCGTTTATATTCTTTATGACTGGCCATCTTTATTTTGAATATTTATGGTCAGGTACATGATTCAATCATATTAAAGTAAATATGATCATCCAAGGCTGATTCACATAAGTTTCTGCATGATTTTTTTCATTAATTATATATCTATATATATCTTGGTTTTTATTGTTGTCATAAGTACAAATGTATTGCATGTCAGTGGAAGAGGCATTGCCAAACTTTCTGTGAAGGACCAAATACTGTAGATTATAGAGGGTTTATGTTCATAACTTTTAAACACAAAGTGGCCATAACAAATAAGTCAATGAATGGCTGTAACCAAACTACCATTTAGTTGTAAAAATAGGCAATGGGAAAGATTTGGTTCTTTATATCTTTCCATATATATAAAACTCAAAGTTCACAAATTTTGTAGGTATATAATCAAGTCTATTGAAGGATAATTAATCTCTTTCAATATTCTACACTTGAGAAGTAATGCTGTAGATATCATTGATTATATATTTTTAAATTATTATAATACATTTCTGGAATTTGATGGTAAAATCATAGTGTGCATATTTAATTACATGAATTATTGCATAATGCTCACCAGAGGAGCTGGGTCAGTTTAGATCAATGTGTGCTGATATAGAAGACTAGCTTTCCCACATTTTCCCTGACACTAATTGTTATCTGTTAATTTTTTTCTCAACTCGTTTCTTTAAACATTGATTCCTCATAGTTTTGTGGGGTTTTTGGTTTTTTTTTTTTTGTTTGTTTGTTTGTTTGTTTTTGAGACAGAGTTTCTTTGTGTAGCTTTGGAGCCTGTCCTGGAAATCATTCTGTAGACTAGGCTGGCCTTGAACTCACAGATATCTGCCTGCCTCTGCCTCCTGAGTGCTGGAGTTAAAGGCATGCACCACCATTGCCTGGCTTCTCATAGTTTTTTTAATTTAAATAAATTAAAACTTTACTTAAAGGTTTAAGTAAAGTAACAAATTAAAAAAGAACATCACAGGACAGTAAAACTATGGAATCTAAACTGAAGCTCCACAACTTCAGAATGGCTGTTCCAACTGTCTAGAAGTTCGTTGAGATGCACCGACTCTGGGTCTGATTAATCTTGCTGTTGATTTATTTTTGTTTTGATTTGATTTGTTGTAGCTCTGTGTTTTACTTTTTAGTATTCTTTGATGAAGTATCATTTTATCTGGTATTGATAATTTATTTGCCCTATGAGTTGTTTACTTCAGTGATTTAGCTACTGTTATTTTGTGTTGCTATTTTTTTCCTTTGTGTTAGCAAGATCTCTTTAATAATGAAATTAACATCTTGATCCCTATGTGTGTTACAAAAATAATTCATTAGTCTGCTGTCTCTTCCTGACTGTGCTTTTACATGCTAAAGCTTTTCTTCCTAGGGTATTTTACTCTATGTATCGTCTGTTGTTGCTGAAGTCATGCTCATGAAGATATTCACTCAAGACAAAGAGCTTTCACACTTCTGAATAACATTGCAGTGAAGACAATTGAGTGTATATTTTAGTTTGTTTACTGCAATGCATTTCTAGATTGTGAATTGTTGATTAAGATGCATAGACCTGTTTCTTTTCCTCTGGATCACCTCAATTCCAGCAGTTGCCATGGATCCCAATTATTGCTGTTATATCTGGTTATCATTGGGTACCATATGGGCATTTCTGAGCTGATACTGCCATGGGGATGTGGTATGAGGTCTTAACACCTCATTTTGTAGTTTTGCTTCCTTTCTAGTATTGAATTCTAGAAAATTAAATTTAATGTATTTGCATCCTAATAACAACACAAAATCCTAATCTTTCACAATTTATATTTTTTAAATGTATGACAGAGAAAAAGCAGATGAATGTTTTATGTTTAAACCTACAACAGAAGACCATGAAAGGGCACATGACAGGACATTTTGCGACAACTTCTTCACTCTCTTTGATTTCCACACAGACATTGGCTGGTGACTGCATAGTTAAAAATCCTGACTTTAAGTGTCCCTTCATTCTTGTCTATGAATATACTATCATATTATCATATGAATATACTATCATAGTAGGTGCTTCTTAATTTTGAGGTGCAGCACAGCAGACTCTGTATATTACTATCTGGCTCAGTTGCTGACTTCATAATTTGTGGTAACTTGCTTAACCCTTAAGCTTCACTTTACTTACCTATGAAATGGGAATAAGAATATACTTAATAAGGCTACTGTCAAAATAAAATGAATTGTTATAATATGATATATGTATAAACATATATATATATATATAGTCTTTTATTTTAAAATAAATTCAATGTCTTGGTTGGATTCATTGTCTTTGCAGACCCATCACGTAAACCACAGGTGTGTTAGAATTTTCCTCTGCTCCATGATAATCTTTCTTAGTAGTGATTTCTGTTTAATTGAGTCCATTTACTTGGACTGTTCTTTAGGACCCTCACTCCTGATGTCAATCATCATTACTCCCTATGGCCTTTCTCTCTCCTTCAGTGTAAGTGTTCTATGCTAACTATGTCTCTTTGATGGATACTGCTAATCAAAATCTCTTTTCCTCACTAAACTCATCACAGTTAGTATGCAGTCATTCAGGCTGGAATGACTGATCTAGACACTGAGTCCCAACTTGGACGAGTTACAATCCTCTCTTGGGATTTCTTCAAGCTGACAGAAAAGCTCCATCACGTTTTGAGTCTGAAAGTGTTTGAGTACAGAAAGACCAGTGACTGGGCTCCCTGCTGTGAGGATAAAAGCCTACAACAGTGGAAGATAGTATGTTCAAGATACTTACAATCAGAGAAAATGCATGGAGAGATTTGGGTTCTCCTCCAGCCCTTTCATTCCCATCACCTTCCCTGACACCGTTCTGTCCTCACATTTTCTAGTTGTGTTGGGTTCTAAATTCCACGTGGTTTGTTCTCGCCTTCATGCTGTTCTTGAGGAAGTTAATTCAAATCGGATATTTCATAGAATAGACATTTCTAACTTAAACAGCAACTCTTTGTCAAGCAGCCACTTTGCTTCTGCAAGCGTGATCTGAGACCAATGGCAATCCACAGGTAATTAAGTCAAAAATGTGTGTACAGTTAATTGAGTGAGGTGACACTGGAAAATGCCGAGATGCTGTGGGGCTTTGCAGACATTTAGAAGAACATCTGGCAATTCCTGTTGGGATGGTGATGGCCAACTTTGCTTGATATAGGAGATGCTTGTACTTTTTTTTCTGATACACCAGTGAGTCTCATCTTCATGGGCACATGGGTATGAGTTAAAGCTGCCTTGCTTGGAGGCCAGAGATGTGAACATTAGTTCTCGAAATCTATTCCTTGGGTCTCCCACTTCAGTGAAAACATTATTTATACTTTCTGTAGCCTGACCTTCTGCTTTGACTCCTGCTATCAACTGTAATGTCTTGTGTATTATACTCGAGGTTGCAAAAAAGGTATTTTTGGCTATTCTAAAAGGAAAGTCAAAGTATACTCAAACATATATAGGGGGGTTAAAAGAGTTCATATAAATTGGGCCATCAAAGAGAATGTTCCATCAGAGAGTTAAACTTCTTAATCAAATTTGACAATTTTGCCTTTGTTTTTATACACACACACACACACACACACACACACACACACACACACACACACACACAAAGATGTTGGTCATTATCCCAATATTCTGAGAATGGCAGACACTGTGTTGATTGAACACGAACTCCTGAGCCCTCAGCTGGGCTTGCAGTGTAAAAGGGAGTTGAACAATAGCTTATGAATTCATTAGAAATGACAGCAATGTTTCTATCAAACATTTCATCTGCTGTATTGATGAGTCACATTAAGAGAATGAAAACTTTCACCACTTTGTATACAAAACTTAGGAAAGCAACATACATCCTCAATTCACAACATGTACACACTTATCATCTGCTTTGTAAACCGTTCGGCTCAGGCCTCAATACACTGTCTGACAGATGCTTCCAGCCTCTTAGGTTTTAAACAACGGTTTTCACTTGCCAAAATTCTCACTTCATTACATGAGCATAAAATGAGGTGGCAGCAGCTGCTTCAGGTAAGCTAGAATTCTTATCCACACTCAACAGCAAATCCTAAATTACAAGCTGTGCTCGCAAAAAGGAGAGATACTAAGATTCATGCTTTGAAGTCCTTTTTTGCCTTTCCCTTAAAAATATTATTAATATCACTGTTAAATTTCTAAATAACACAATCACAGATGTTCTGAAATTAAGCAACTTCAAACATATCATGCCTACATAAAGTCTAATTGAACTGCCTGGATGTGTCAGGGGTTAAAAGAAAACTAGAGAAACTGAGGTTCCAAAACCCAGGGAAAGAGATTCATAGAAGGAGTATAAATCTGGTTGGAGCTGGCAAGCTAAGAAGTCTAGGAAGGCCTTTCTCTGTACCAGAATGCCACAGAAAATGAGCTAGAGAAGGTAGCTTTTCCTTTAAGAGAGCATGAGACCGAGCCTTGCAGAAAGACAGTTTATTTTGGTCAAAGTAAAAGAAAATTATTCCCCAAAATGCGCTAAGGGAGACAGGTAGGGAATTCTAACTGTGGGTGTGTAACTGGAGATGAAGACATGATGAGTGGAACACTGGTGGTAGCTTTCCAGGTAGACAAGACTTTTGCCCCATTTTTAATGATTTCTCCTGGTGGACTTCCTCTATCAAAATAGGGATGAGAAATGTTGAATCATCTTGTCACAGTTGGTGATTGGTGATGCCGATGATGCTTAGCTCTGAGAGCTCTAGAGTGACATCATGGACAGCTGATCACGTGAACACTAGCCTACCAGTCACCTCCCACACCTGCCTCCTCACAAATGCCCTCTTCCTGGTTTTATAAAAGTGTTTCTAATGTGTGTATGTGTTTGCTTTTCCTTTCCACCATCAGATTTTGTGGAAGGTTTTGGGGCACAACAAAGAGTGAATGAATCCCAGGAGGAACGACAGCCGTAAGGTATGTAGGAAAAAGTTTGTATGAAGTTGGAATTCTCCTCAACCATCTCTTCCTATGTCATGTTTCAACCACAAGAAAATAGCCCGTTTTCTCTATGGCTATTTGTGTTTAGCTTTTCCATGGTTATTATCCTAACTCTCCTGGTTCTAGCACACATTCAAACAATATGCTTTCTTTTTTGGTTTCTTACTGTTCTTCTTTGGGAATGGGGAACCAGGAAGGCCAGCTTACTTGTAGAATACTGACAGAAAACAGAATACAATGTTCTCTGTGGATTATACAGTGCTACCCAGCTCCCAAAACATCTGAGGAACTAGAGAGAACACAGGCTAAATATGAAATGTATCCAAATACAAAAAAAAAATGACTATAGTACTTCATGTTTTGATTCTTCCTAGGAACATGGTGGTGAAAGATATGTTAATTCCAGAGACAAGACACCAGTACTTATAAAATGCTTGAGGAATACCCCTGCATTCATTTGTGTTGACCGGTCAAGTTCAGAAAGAGGTCCAGATTTCTCTTGCTCAGTAACATGGGCATAAGCTTAAAGAGAGAAACCATCTAAACAGTAGTAATACATTCTTCTGACCCCATTATCTAAGAAAATGCTGACATGGAAGTTAACAACCTATGCTTTCTTCTGTTCTGGGAACAATAATTTTTATTCTGAACTGAATAAATTACTAAAACATTTTTCTGTGAATAAGAATGAAACCATACTTCCTTTCATTTTTACTGCCTTACATGAAAAATCTAGTGCTTTTTTAAATTCAAATTTGAATTTAATTAGTCAACTTCTTTACTACCAAGAAATTAGGATCTTTAGTGTGTGTGTGTGTGTGTGTGTGTGTGTGTGTGTGTGTGTGTGTGTGTACTTGCTACCTAAATTAGCCTTGTATTTTTAGTTGACATAATTAGATTTGGTTTCAGTTTAATTTTATTGTTATAAAATGCATTAGGTTTCAGGTGGGCTGCTTTGAGTTGCACAGTGCTGAACACATCATTTGGAACACTCCGTGTTACTAAATAAAACTTCCAAAGAAAAGACTTCGAATAATATTTTGCCTGAGAAACCCATTTCCTGGCACCAAAGGTAGAGCTAAGCTGGGTGGGCACCTGAGACCCCCCTCCCCCCCACACCAATCCCCTACTCTCTTTGGTGAAAGGATAGCATTCCCCTAATTTATACCAATGCCAGAAATCCTGAGGCCAAATCGAGTGTCTGCATCTCAGGTGCAGTTGGGGGCCATGGGGTTCCAATCCAATCACTGTGTCAACTTTCCTATTCTTCTCTGTACCAGATGGTATCCCATACCTTGGTTGGCAGCCCCCAGTTGTGGTGGGGTGCTGGAGTCAGTGACCACCCGGCCTGAACTCACCCCATCATGTGAGCCCATTGAAATACGCCTGGTTATAAGGAGCCTGGGTAATAGCTAGCACTGGACTTTACAGTGGTTGACAGTCCTTGCACTAGGGTCCAAAGCCAAATCATGAGTTCTCTCTCCCTGAGCTTGGAAAAGCTCTCCAGGCTGCAGGCTGGGGTGGACTCCTCCCTTCCTGATGTCCCCAATCCATACTGCACTCCTTGCTTGACTTCCTCAGCCTTCGGAAGGTATTTTATCGGATGAGTATCTGTTTGACCTGCTGTATCCATGGGGAGATATCACCGGAGGATCCTGCTCAAGTATGAGCTTTGTCTACCTCAAAAGCTATGTGATTTCTTTTTTTTTTGGGGGGGGGATACTAATGTTGTAGATAAAGTTCATTAAGTTAAAAAATATTTTGTTCTGTTTATTTATAGGTTGATTTTCTATTGTGTAGATTTGGTCTATACCAATTGATAGTTTTGACTATCTGCTTTTAGGGTTATCTTTTACTTTTGACTTCTATTGTTCCAAAATCTATTACATATATAATTAGATTTTTTTCCCCACAGAAATAACTCATTTTCATTCCTTTATCTGTTATCTTTGGCTAATTTCTCAATCTTCCCTTCTGCTTCACTAAGTTTCTGCTCATTCCTCCTTGCAGATTTTAGTTGAACAATTTTTTTCACCTTCATGACATTTTATTTCTCTCAACTTGTTCCTGTTGATATTTGAAATATATATATATATATATATATATATATATATATATATATATATATATATATACCCAAATTAGACATTTCACAAAATGAGCTCTCCTTCTTGTAGTAAACCTATTTGGGGAAGGTGTTTCCTCCAGATAGCCTCCTTTTGACTCATGTCACTTCCGTTTCTTCCAGAGGACTCACTGCTCTGGAAGCTCTGTTCCTTGGGACCATCTGCTCCAGACCAAAAATAAAAAATCCATACATTTTCTATTTGTGTGGTCACGGCCCCAAGGCCTACCTCATTCTTGTGAATTGTAGGGTGTTAGTGTTTGTTTCCCCTTTTCAGGATCTTCTACATTTATTCCCCAAGTACCTTGTGGTATGGAAACCACCAATGGGCCCTCCAAGTCACTTTCAGTGCAATAGAAGTACTCATGTTCCTAAATCTGTGCATTTCTCTCACTTCCAGTGCTGGAGCTGACACTGTGGTTTTGCATTCTGTAGCCATGCTACATTTTGTCCATTAGAGGTGGAAGTAAGTTAATTGGTGACACTCCTAATTTTTCTTTTCCCTTCAAAAGCTACTGTTTTTTACATTCTATGAAGCACTGTCTTCAGGCCTGGGTGGGGCTGTTCCCTGGAGCGTTTCCTTACAGCTGTTCCTTTCCTTGTCTGTCCAGGTTTTGAATTCTCCAGGATCCTTTCCACACTGAGCATTTCCCTTCTCACGTATTCTCTAAGTCCTTCCTAACAGCAGCCACACTGTCCCCTGCCCTCAGTTGCCCTCTTCCATTTGAGGTGCTGAGGGTTGACAAAACATGGCTACACTACTGTGAAGAAGACTGTACTGACCAAGATGTTGGACCGCATTGAGTTGAGTATGTGTTTAGAAGGCAGCTCTTGTGAGTTCTGGGGGAATATGCCAGTAAGATATTGCTGAAGAGGTGGAGGCAGGAGGATCACTAGTTAGAAACCACCTTCCACAGTGGGGAAGGATCTTCCTCACTCACTGAAAGAATAGAAATGCTCCTGACACTATGAAAATTACTTTTCACATGAATAATTTTATTCTCTTCAACCTGGTTGGAAAAAATATGCTATCCAGAAATTTATTTTTACTTTTTTGTAACTGAAAGCAAAGAACCCAGAGGCATAGGAATATTTAGAGCCTAGAAAACTAGATAGAGGAATTTTGTTCTAAAACAATTTTTTAAAGCTTTTACTTTGTATGTATGTGCATCTTTTATTTGTGTATATATCATGACCCTGGGATGGCATGGAGCATTTTAAAAACATGCCTCTGAAAAAATAAGCCCAGAATCAGTCAGGGTTGAACTGAGTTTAGGATTATGGGGCTGCTCCCCTTTTGCCTCCATCTTACTTCCCCCCAAAACTTTCAGCTTCTTAGAAAAATTAGACACAAGTTCCAGGGATCTGTTAAAACATGCTCATGGACACACCTGCCTCTAAAAGCAAGGCTAAAGCTTACCAAGATGGCCGCCCACGACTGCTGGACAAAGCAGCCGAGGCCTAATGAGAACAGAGTAGACATGGTTCTAAGTTCCTCACATTTGGAGAGAGAAGGCCTGTGCTATGTCATGGCCCAGATAGCAAAGGCTGATAAAGTCGGCCAAACATCCACAACCAGGCAAAGTGAGAATTTTTCATAACCTACAGGGCGGGGGCTCAAGTGCTATTACTCTCCATCCTCCTGCTGAAAAGCATGAAGAGGAAGAGAGCCTGGTTTCCATGTCCTCTCATTAGATGCATTCTTGTAGAAGGGCAGAGCAACAGGGGCTACAGAGGGAGGAAGCTCTGTTCCACACCCCCTCTCTTTTATACTCCACCCACTTGTACCCCCTGACCCCCTATTCAGCTTTTGCTGTGCTTGTTTCATAGTCAACCAAAATAGAAAGATTCTTCTAAGGGCAGAATCTGATTTTATATTCTAAAATAACTCTTTGAAATTTCAGATGAGCGTGTGTCATCTGGTCTGGCTCAGCGCCATACAGACAAGGTCAGCATCTAATGAGAACCTTTTATCCTGATTATTCCATCCATTATTATATGAAAAATGTTTGAAGGCAAAATGAACCACTTTACCAATGTTTCAGATTCATCTTTCAAATGTAAACACTATTCATGATCTGAGATTGACAAGCTTACATCTGCATAGCTCTAAAGATTGTCATTTTGGGTTAGAAAATATCTCATTAATCAGAATGTTAAATAATCCACAGTACTTATATAATGTGTTATTATTTATCAGCTTTGAGCAGCTCTATTTCCAAAGGCAGAAACAAAATAATTGCAACCAAGTGAACATAATATTAATGACAGCAGTATTATAAATAAATTTAAAATGCTGCCAGGAAGCATGTGATGAAGAAAAAAAGAATAATTCTGTGCTAGTTTTTCCCCTCTTCGATGTGCACAACATGCTGCTGTACTCTCAGCCACACGTTTAGTTTGAAAACTCCTCAAGACTTAAGCTACCCTCCTCTCAACAAAGGATGGTACTTAGTTTGGTGCAATTAAAAGGTTTTCACAGCTTCTACAATGGAATTCTACAGGAAACCAGGAGAACCAGCAGTCAGTCCAGTAACTCAATTGAAAAGGAGCAGGCACTGGGTAGCTGGAACACTGGAAAGGGTGCCTGCCATTGTCTTGGTGATGTAAGCATGGTAGTGAGCCCACAGCACTATGAACATCTATTTCAGGCTGCTTTACATAAGCTCCCTTTGAATTAGGAATTGTTCTAATATCGTAGGTACTTTATACCTCTTTTCGCAATCTGAGTTAGAGTCTGTTTCTCTAAGCAGCTGTGTTGTCATTGTTCAAACAGGACAAGCATGCTGGAACATAAAGGAAATGGTGATTCTCTGTGTGCTATCCCTCAGTCCTCCTGGGCAGAGAGCATTGTTTCCGGTTGGAGATGCGCTGTTTGATACAAGCAGACAGAATCTGTGATGGGAATGAACAACCTTTTACATAACTGGTAATGTTAATGGTTAAGGTCTGTTCAGCTGAGGTACCCACCTAAGAAACAAGTTCTCTTTTATGATGAAACATGCCACTAAAATGGACTGAACAAAGAAATTAGCTTGGAATTTTAGTGTTTTTTCCAGTGCTGATACTATTGTAAAGGCAGATGTTATATAACAATCAAATGACAAGTTTATAAATAGGAATATTAGCTCATGTAGACTGATCCTAAGATGACTCATGGTTTCATTTTATTTTTTGTGTCTGAGTGTTTTGCCTACACGTATGGATATGCACCATGTGTGTGCCTGGTGCTCGTGGAGATCGGAAAAGGGTATTGGGTTCCCTACAACTGCAGTTAGAAAGGGTCGTAATCTACCATGTGAGTGTTGGGAACTTAATACTAGTCCTCTGCTGTGTTTAACTACTTAGCTATCTCTCCCACCCCAGCCTTTGGGATTTTTAACACGGTTTGCAGAAGTTTCTTGAAGTCCTCAAAGCCATTTTATGTATATTGAACCCAGACCCAAATGAATTTCGAGGAATATTTTTTGGATAGAAAAAAATTCTAAAAGCAGATTCTAAATTTCAAATGGAAAAGCAAAGGAACCACAGTAACCAAAACAATTTTGCAAAAACAAATAAAAAGAAACCAAGTTGAAAGATGTGCAATCCTGTTCAAGAATTATTATAAACTTGCAGTACCCAAGGCTGCATGGTTGGTGGAAGGCAGACACATATATCAACAGCACAGAATTAAATCAGAAGCAGACATCGGTACATCAGAACAACTGGCTTTTTAAATAGTCCAATGACAATGACTGTATATGGTGTTTGCATCAAGTGATAATGATAAAAGAATTGGATATTTATATCAAAAACTGAGCTTTAACTCACATGTCATACTTCATGCCAAAATTATACCCAAATCATCATAGATTGAAATAGAAAATATGAAACTATTGAATTTCTGTGACAAAAATTATATATGACATTGAACCTGGCAGCTTTCTTAGACATCCTACTCAAAATACCAACAGCAAAAAAGACAATTTAGAATTCTTCAAAGTGAAAGCTCATTTAGTAAAAGACTGCCAGGAAAATAAAAAGTGGCAGGCTTTATCACAATATCACAAAAATACATATTTAATAAATTTTCATCCAGAGTCAGGTGGTGGTGACGCACACCTTTAATGCTAGCACTGGGGAGGCAGAGACAGGTGGATCTCTGTGAGCTCAAGGCCAGGTTGGTCCTGGGACAGCCAGGACTACACAGAGAAACCCCATCTAGAAAAACAAGCAGATAAAAAAACAGAATTAAAAAACAAAAATCTTACTTCCAGAATAAAAAAGAACTCTCAAAACTCAATAAGAAAACTGAGTAATTACCTCTTCTTATTTCATTTTCTTTTCTTTTCTTTTCTTTCTTTCTTTCTTTCTTTCTTTCTTTCTTTCTTTCTTTCTTTCTTTCTTTCTTTCTTTCTTTCTTCCTTCCTTCCTTCCTTCCTTCTTTTTTTGTTTTGTTTTGTTTTGTTAAACTTTCGTGTAATTCAGGCTGGCCTTGAATTCCTGAACCTTCTTCTGCCTCCACCTCCCCAGTTCTCAGTTCTAGTATTAAAGGTATATGGCACCACACTTGAGGATCCATTTTTTATAAGGCAGAAAAAAAAAAAAACATACACAAATCATCAAAGAGACACATAGGTTTCAGATATGCACATGCAATAATGTTCAACACCATCAGTCATCAGGGAGGTGTAGGCTGAAACTATAATAAAATGTCACTATGCATGTACTGATGTGTAGGTTCTATCATCTAACTATCTTATCTAGCACTTTATTAGAATGCATAAGATTTAAAAGGACTGGTAATACTCAGTGTAAGTGAGCATGCTGACCAAATAGATTGTTGCTCTTGTTGTGAACTACAATTGGCCCATCCTTATGCATTAACATAAGACTCAGCAACCCTCCTGCAGGTGTTTATCCAAAGGAAATAAAAGGTCACGTTTACCCAAAACCCTGCACATTAATGTTTATAGTGATTTACACACACACACACACATACACACACACACACACACACACACACACACACGGGAGGGAGGTGGGCCCTACATACCCTTCAGCTGCTACATGGATGAGCAGGTTGAAGCATCCATGTAATGAAATTCTATTCAGCAATGGAAATGAATGCACTATAAGTCAACTAAATGATACAGATGACTGAAATGGATTTTGCTAAGTGATAGGACACAGATTCCCAAGATGACATCATATGGTTTGATTTATATGAAAAGAACAAAAATAATGGGCACAGGAAACAAATTAATGGTGACTAGGGTTTAGTGCTGGCGACAGAGTGGTTACAAAAGGCTGCTGGGGAGTACACTGGCTGTGGTCATAATTTCACAACTGTAGGCAAAGAGGGAAATAAGAGAAATCATGAAAGCATCCCCAAGGTATTCTCCAGCATTGTTTTGTCTTCTATAACAAAAGCAAACTTTATTTTATAATATGTTTTCATATGAGACCTTATGCCCTAAATGAAGCAAAACTGTCTTTTATAAAAAGACAAGCTAATAAGAGAAGTCTACCTGACCCCTGAACATGCTTTTCTTTCCCCCAACATTTGGAAATATGACAGCCCCTTGCCTCCAGCACCTCAGCTGTGTGATGAGGATGTGGATGGATTATTAACGAGATTGCTCCCATTCTTTTTTCAAACCCACATAATACTGGGTGGAAAAAAAACAAGCTTGTTGAAAGAATATTATACATCTTTCACACCATAGTTGGAGGTTTCTGACAGCTAGATCCAGAAAAGTACAAGACCGTGTGGTTGGTGTCAAACAGAAACCTTCTCTATACAGAATCAAGAATCAGGGTCCCCTTCTCTCCAGAGTCTCCTAGACTAATACATCAAACATGTCCCTGGAAAATACATTTTTTTTAAATTTTTCTGCAGGTTTCAGATGCAGTTGATACAAAGAAATTCTACTGCTGTTACTGTGCTTACAGTGGTGACAATATAAAAAGTTTTGATGACAGTGGAAATGACATTTTGGATATACTATATATAGAGACAGAAGTGTACAATTTGGAGTCTGCAATAGATCGTGACTCAGTCTGCTTTTTCTCACACTTTGCATTGTTTCTTGGCACTGTTGTATGACTTAAAGCACACACCAGTTCTGCCAGCAACAGACCTCCTGAGCTGATCCTCATTATCACCATGGCACGGAATCAAACTCCCATCCCATTCTCTCTGCTTTTATGTAAAGTATCTAAAGCTTTACATCAATGCCATGTCAGAGAACTAGGGTGCTCCTTGCTTAGGGATTTGTTTCAGTGTCTGGAAAATAAGTAACCCAGGAAGCCAGTGTGTATGAATACAGCCTCAAAGAATCGCTCCTCACAGTTGCACCCCTGATAATAACCAACCTAACCATCTTCTGCTGTTGGGGCAAGAATTCTCAAAATCAGTAATGTTCATTTCCCCATCCTTCTAGGAAATCTTCCATCTCGCCTTGCAGGAGTGGAAAGAAACCTTTCTGACTTTGCTTTCATCTAAAAGGCCGTGCATGTCTCTGTCATTTTGACTGATTTGGAAGAATGGAAACAGTACTGAGTAGTGGAAAATATCCTGAGGGCATGATGGCTCCTGGGAGTGAAGAAAGCAAGAAAAGACCCGGACAAGGAATGGCAGCTGAAGGTACAGAGTCAAGGTAGGGACAGAGGCAGCTGAGGGGAGCAAGAGGGGCAGGGCTGCGTGGACTGGAGAACACTAGTGTCTAGAATTTCATCAGGGCCATGAAGCTTTGCTTTAAGTACTTATCTCAGTCTACACAGATCCGTCTCCAGCATTTGGATAATTACATATTCTGTTCCTCACTCCAGACCCATATTTACCCTCAAGGAATTTCCACAAGGAGAACTTTTGTTCTTAATTTTCCATGCCCCAGTGCATGGTATCACAGCCTTACAAGTGCAACCAAGAAACTTCTTGGACTTACCTCAGGGTTGCAGCCTATAACCACCCATGTGCATTGTTCTCTGCCCCCCAAGCCATATGGAACATGGTTGTCTGTCCACTTCTGTATCCCAGGTAGCTAAAACTGCTGCCTTGTAAACAGGCTTGTGAATTTTACATGCATTTTATTTATCTATCAATCAGTGAAATTTGTTTTTATTTAATATTGTATATTATATAATTTGCTCTAAATTTTTTAAAGAAAAATTATTAAAGTCATAAAACATGATCATTTTTAAAATAATTAGAAGAAACAAAATTAAATCTGGTGACATTATATGACTATATGAAATGAAATTATATGAACATTTTGTATATTATACAATTTTTCTGTTTTGTTAGTTTGAGAATTCTGTACAATATATTTTGATCTTGTTCACTTCCCCTCAGCTCCTGCCAGATCGGCCTCCCCTTCCATGCTTCCCTGCCTTTGTGTTATCTTTTTACTATTTTAAAAAAAATCTGCCAAGTTTACTTTACTTGAACATATACTCTTGCATGTGTGGCCTTGCACTGGAGTGTGGTTGATCTACCACAGACCATACACTTAAGGAAAATACAGTGTCCCCGCATCTATCAATTACCAATAGCTCCTCAACTAGTGGTGGGACTTCACACCCATCTCCTTTCTCCATGGTGGGATTTTTGCCTGGTTTGAGTGTGAGCAGGCATTGTGCTGTGAATTCATAAGTACATCTGCCCTTCTGTGTCCAGAAAACAACTTCTTGCAACCATCCAGCACCTCTGATTCTTAGAATCTTCCCATTCCCTCTCTAGAAATGATCCCTGAGACTTGCTTGGAGGGGATGTGATATAGCTGTTTCACTTAAGATTGAGAATTCTGTAGTCTCCTATTCTCTATCTCTTAGCCAGTGGTAAGAGATTCTCTGTGTTAATCCTATCTATTGGAAAATAAAACTTCTTTAATGAGGGTTGAGAGATGCACTAATCTATAGGTATAATGGTAAGTCATTGAGAGTAGATATATTACATCTTAATGCTTTCTTCATTGAATATGCTATAAGCATTTCAAGTGTTTATTATTTAGACTTTGGCCAATTTATGCCACAGTAACACAATCTTAGTACAAATGTGTACTTCATGCTTGTGTTACATAACCCAAGTAGGTTAATGGAAAGTTCTATGTTACACATTCAAGAAGGACCCAGGCTGATGGAGGCTCTGAAGTGTTAAAGCTGAAGTATTTGGAAGCCCCTGTGTCCTTAGTGTGTAAGGAAATAGAAGAATTAGGTTGGACAATCTCATAAGGGCCATTTTTTCCCATTGGAAATGGTATAAGTTACTTCATTTCACTGAGCTGATTGAGACATGAGTTCACCTATGGACAAGAGCACTGGGAAATAAAAGGAGCAAGTGAAACATTTCACACCCATTGCTGACTTTGCCTCATCAGGAAATGTGGATCTAACTAATAATTTTCATTAACTAAAAATTTAAAGCCCAAAATGCCCAAATTCAGTCATTAACTGTAGTTACAGTTATAGTTGTTTTTCTGTTTATTCTCTATTCTGGAACAAATAAATATCCCTCTGTCTAAATCACTGATTACTTTTATTTCAGTAAAATAGATGAATTAAAAAGCATTTTAATTGTTACATCAAGTAATTTATATAAATTAAAGCTTTCATAATGTCCAAATATTATCTAGAATGGATGACCCAATTTATTCAGTTATGGTATATGAATGTGTTCGTTTTTTTCAAACATTCATCAATCCACGGTTAATTTTGCTCTTTTTTCTGAGGATGGAAATTGGGATTGAAATGATTCTTCATTATTTGAGGATTTTTATTTTTATTTTATTTGGGTTTGATGCTTAGATTTATGCTTTAAAATATTCCACTGTGCCTGGACCAGGTTTTATAGGCCTTTCATCACAGATACTTTGGGGACTACAGTGGGAGAACTCCAAGTTCAAAGGCAGTCTGGTCATCCATCACTGAGATTCTGTTTCAAAATACCAAGTAAAAAGAGGGCTGGCGATGTAGCTCAGTGATAGAGCTCTTATTAGCATGCACTTGAAAACTTAGATTCCTCTGCTGACTCCCCAGGGGAGACCTTGCCTTGGAGGAGGTGGGAATGGCGTGGGATTGGGGGGGGGGGTGCTGAAGGGTGGGAGGAGGGAGGACAGGGGATTCCGTGACTGATATGTAAAACGAATAGAAAATCTCTTAATAGAAAAAGAAAGAAAGAAAACAGGTTCCATTCTGCAACAGCAACAAAAGAAACAATGGAACAAAGAAATTGAGTTTGAAAAAAGAAAAGAAAGAAAAGAATGGAAGGAAAATGTTCCCTTGTTCTGGAAGAAATGACTCAGAACTATTTAGGGGTCTAAGGAGGCCAATATAAAAGTTTGTATGAGCTGAAAAAAAGTTAAGTGTTTCTATATGAGTTATTATGACAATTTTTTGCAACATTATATTAAATAACTCATCTATTAATAGATAAAAAGTAAATCCAATTTCCTAAAGTTTGGAAGTAGCCATTTTAAGATCTTGTAAATTTTCTCAGCATTTCATTTTTTTACTTACACATTTGCTTATTTGTTCATGATTAAATGATATTTCATTTTTGAGATTATAATGTAATTAAAGCGTTTTCTCCCTTTTCTTTCCTCCCTCCAAACCTCCAGATACTGCCCCGTTGATATCCTATAAATTCAGAAATCTCTTTTTCTTTCATTAGTGTGTGTATATGTGTGTGTGTTCCTAAATTTATGAATACAACCTGATCTCTCTGTATATTACTTGTATATATGATTTCAGGGCTCACCATTTGGTAAACTAACTTGTGTTTTTCCCTGAGGGAGGCTATTTCTCCAACTCAGCATTCCTAGGTTGCTGTAGGTCTTTATCTCGGGTTGAAGTCACCTGAGCTTGTCCCCTTCCATGTTAGTAGGTCTATTGGTGTCCTCCTTGTCCAGACAATGCTTAGGCAGTCACGTTGGTGAGGCTTAATTTGTCATACTTCTAGAAGACACAGGCACAGCAAACTTCCTATTTCTCTGGCTCTTCTACCCTCTCTTGCACAATGATCCCCACGCCTTAGATGCAGAAATTGTGGTGTAGATCTATCAATTGGGACTGGGCTCTATAATAGTGTATTTTGATTGGCTGTGGTTTTCTATAATGGTTTCCATCTGTGGCAAAGAGAATTTTCCTTGATGAGGGGTGAGAACACACTTATCTGTGGGTTTAAAGATGAATCCATAATGCAGTTAGGGATTATGCAGATTTAGTAAATTGGCTGTTGAAGGTTCTCTTCCAAGATTCATGACTTCACTAGCCCTAGGTATTTGGGAAGGTTTTTGGTACCAAGCATGATTTCCCTCTTGCTGAGTAGGCCGTAAGTCCAACTAGAGAGCTCTTGTTTATTGTTAAGGTATGGGTGCAACTTTTGCACCCTTAGAGTTATTGTGCTATGCTGGTCATTGTTGTGCTTTATCGGCTTCACAGTTAGGTAGTGCTATTGGTTGCTTCTGTATTTGGAAGCTTGCATGGCATCTTCTGGCACTGTGAACACTAGTCTCCAGGAGGAGGCTTTCAGGTTAGATCTAGCTTGGGTCCTCTGGGCTCTTTGTTCAAAGTCATGGTGTCTTCAACACTAGGGGTTAACTTCTACCTCTAGGGGGCAACCAAAGGCAATAGCTGTCACCTATAATGTTTGGGAGTCTGATAGACAACCCTGATCAACAATTCAAAAGAGGCTTCTCATGCCTGGTGTTGAGGATTTTGTTAGATAATCTATGGCTCTTGAGGGAAGCATTGTCAGTCTCGGTGGGAAAATTTCATTTCAACTGCACATGTATATGTGTTTACCAACCTACATGTATTACAGGTATTTTTAGGTAGTTAATAGTATAATTCCTTATGACTCCTCCTCTCCCTTTTCCCTGTATTTATCTCTGTCCCTCCTCCCTAATCAAAGCCCCCCTCATTTGTCTCATTTCCCTTTTCAGATCACTTGTACCCTCACATTCCCCTCTCTATTGCTCTTCCCTCATACTCCCCAAATGGTTCTTTTTTACTTTTCTGATTTCTGCACTTACTCCAGGTTATATCCTCACATCTAAAGCTTTGGAGCTAGGAACCTCAGACTAGAGACATGTAGTGTTTGTTTTCCTGGGTCTGGGAAAATCTGACTAAATATGATCTTTTCTAGTTCTAGCCATTTGCCTGCAACGTTCATGATTTCATTTTTCTTTACAGCTGAATATTATTCCATGGTATATATGTACCACATTTTCATTATCCACAGCAATTGGAAGACATTTAGGTGGTTTCCTTTTCCTACATATTGTGAATAGAATGAATATAACTGACCATGGATCTGTGGAGTAGGGTTTCCAGTCTTTGGTAATATGTCAAAGAGTAGTATAGTTGGGTCACACGGTACATTTCTTTTTATTATTTTGAGAATTCTCCACAATGATTTCTAGAGTGGCTGGACTAGTTTGCAATCCCACCAACAGTGAAAGAGTGTTCACTTTTCCGCACATCCCCTCTAGCATTTGTTTTACATTGTTTTGTGGATCATTGCCTTTCTCACTAGGGTAAGATGCCATCCCAGTTGTTTTTATTTGCATTTTTTTTAGTTCTTTGTATATTCTAGATATTAATCCTCTGTCAGATATATAGCTATCAAAGACTCTCTTGCATTCTGTGGGCTTCCTCT